TGCTTTTTTTTTTTTTTTTTTAAGAAGGACTTTTTCCCTTCACAGCCCAGCTTCTCTCTCTCAAAGATCAAACTGCAGCTAAATAGTAGAGGAGGCATCAGTTTTGCAGAAATGCCAGAGACCTCTGCACCACCTCCATTCAGCCAAGGTCTTGGTGCTGGCTTGACCGATTGTCAAGGATGATGCCACCAAGATGGAAATCTGAGGAAAATGCAATGGGACACAGTGGCCCTAATACTTTGTGCTCTAAGGGTTGGGAGAGGTTTGGAGGACAGCCCATCATTTCAGCTCACAAGCTTTCTGCAGTGGCTGTAAGCACATTTACATGCAACAAAAATCAGTGCAATTCCCTCCCAGTGTGGGAAAACCCTGTTTAGGTTTCCCATGAGTGCATTTTAATTCACAGCTGAAATAATAATTTGAACCCTGAAGCAACCCATCCGCATTTTCTACACCTTTTTAAATTCTTTTTTAAGCCCACAGAAATTATTATATTGGATCCAGCCCAGGCTTCATCAAATCCTTTCTATGACAGGAGCTACTACCAGTTGCTTCAGAATTCTCCCACTATAAACAGATGTAGGATGATCTGTCAATATGAAGGTCTCACTCTAGCCCTTGACACTAGAGACTGGCTCAAGCCTTGAAAGCAGTCTTAAACCTCTTTTTTAGTATGAATGTTGATATTTAAAAATATTCTTGATTGTCTATCTTAGTGTCTTTGAATCCCAAGCTAGGTTATTGGTTTTTAGAAAAAATGACATGCACATTGTACTAGTTATTGCTCTCAAATTTAGCAAGATGGGACTTCAGTGTGCCAATCACTGAAAATCCCATGGTATCACTTATGCCATTACTTTAAATGAATTTCTTTTCACTCTGGTTGTCCATCATAAAACTTCCTAGGCATTCAACCAGCTATGCTGTATATCAAAGAAAAGCTCATGATTGGTGGATGAGAAAGCAAATATGGATTTTTAAAAAATCCAACAGATGAAGATTGAAGGAGAAGTGATCTGGATTTTGTGTCACAATTACTTGCCCTATATGAGCATGGTAACTCCGCAGACAACCTGTAATTGTATTTAGTACAATTTTGTAGACTCTCTACAAAATTTAGGAGCCTTTTGTAGACTCTCACATCTGACTTTGTCCACACAGGAGGACTGAAATCCTTCGCTCTGGCAGCTGAGGTGCAGAAGTGAGGAAAAGAAGCTTGAGCTGTTTCATTGTACCCTAGAAGACTCTAATCAGAGTACCTGTTTTCATTTTTTAGTGAAATAGGATTTATGGGGGAAGATTTTAGAAAGTGTCCAAAGAATTTAGGGTCACACGGACTATTGCATTTTTGTTTTCAAAGGGACTTGTGCCCTCTACAATTTACAAAATTCCCTTTGGTTCTTTTAATTATTACATGGAAAGTAACTGTTCTTCACTAGATGGTGAAGTGGAGAGAGAAAACAACAGCAGGATGAAAACGTAACACTGAAAAGCAAGCATATGAATGTTGTGTGGAATGAAAATTAATGACATGTCACCAAGTAACCAGACCATTCTCATTCTTAACTCTAAATCAGTTAGCTCATTTAACTTTGGGATTGTAGGAATGTGGATGGCCCGTTGCTTGCCTTCATGCTTTCCCATTACTGTTAGGAGCCTACATTTATAGCAAATTTTTTCATTGGAAAAAATGACAGCAGGGGCAATTTGGAAAGCCTGTTGACTGCATTAGGAGACTGCAGATAATAAGGAAGTTGTGTACAAAGGTCTTGCATGGTCAGCCTAACTCTGTTGGTTTGCAAGGTCTTGTGTACCTATGGGCTTTGTCATCTTAGCAATTAAGGAGCTCAATGCAGAGCCCAGAGAGACCCATTTTGTTGTGTAGATTTCTCTTAGATTATGGATGACAAACTCAGTTAGCAGAATTTAGCTATCTAGAAAAATAGCTCACATTAAATGCACAATTCTCATGTTTTAGATAGGAACCCATCACAACTACTACAGAGAGGAAAATAATTTTAAGCTAACAGCTCAAGGCTGGCAAAGCGTCAAGTTTTCTTGTTTTATTTTTTAAAGGGAAAAAAACCCCCAAAACATTTCCACACTGGCCATTTTCATTGCATCTTACTTGTGAGGCCAAACTGTTTGCAACTCAGAATGGCTATAACGATGCATCTAAATGCCCATTTGAACAGTAAACAAGTTCTGCACCACAAAGACAAAACAGCCATCCCACCCTCTTAAACATGTCCCCAGTTGTAACACAGGGTGTGCACAGAAACAATACTAGCTTTTTTATTCCCCATCAGCATGGAAGAAACTTTAAGAAGCTGGTTTAACTGAATTTACAGGTCCTCTGCTTTGCAAGAGAAAGCCAAAGACCTATACTGGCGTTTTAGATGATGGTGATTAATGTTCTCCTGTTCTCCCCTACCCCAGACTTACACTAGTTTCAAAATATTACCACTGCCACAGGAAGGTGAATAATTTCCTCTTTTGCATTAATAGGAAATCAATCCTTAAAAAACAGCCTTCCTTTCTCTATTACCCTTCTACCTCTAGGTGGTCATCACAGGAGAAGTGATACCTTTCTAAGAGCTCCGTTGAAAGAGGTCAACAATAAGCTGCATTGAATTAATCCTGTCTGGAGGCCTCACCTCAGCCAGAACATCTGATGTACCTCGGGATGCATCAAAAGACAAAGCAGTGTATGTTGTACTACTGCAGATCCCACTAGATGGATATTCCATCTCCAAGAGCCTTGCCTCCTCTATTATGCCTATAGACAGGTTAGCCATGCTGGTCTGAAGTCAGGCAGAAGAGAGGGCAGCATGGCACCTCATAGACTAATAGGTTCAGAAAGGCATAACCTTTTGGAGGCAACAGACTTATCACATGCTTAGCATACTTGAATCAGAACATGCATTTGATGAAGTAGACCAGGGGTGTGCCACAAGTGACACACACAGCCTATCAGGGAGGGAGCAGGCAGCACAGCAGCAGACAGGGTAGGAAGCAGAAAGCAGAGCAGCAGATTGTATGGGGAACACAGGGATAGGAACAGAAAGTAAAGCAGAAAAATCAGGCAGGGGAAGGGGAAAACATGGCACTTGGGGAGGGCACAGGGCTTAATGATGTCATGCCTGCCAAAAAAGGTTGGCCTCTACTGAAGTAGGGTGTTGCTTACAGAAGCTAATACCTATCTGAAATAGTTAGTCTGTAAAGTGCCCTGTCCTGCTTTCTGCCTGTTTACATTCATTCATTTAATCTGATTTATATGCTACCCTTTCCAACAAAGCTCAAGGTGACTTAAAAGAAGAGAAACAGAAGACTGGCAAAACAGGACACCACCACAACTTAGATGGCAACTAGAACATCAACATAAGACGGGGATCCCAAGCTTCTCATCCTAGCTTTGTTTGCTAAATGCCGATCTTAATAGGAAGTTCTTACAGCACTTCTGAAAGATTACCAGGCTCAGGCTTTGGTGGGCATCAAGAGGGAGGGTGTTTCAGAGCTGAGAATCAACTGCTGAAAATGACCCCCATGCATTTTCACACAGCAGACTTGGTATATTGATGGTACTTACAGGAAGCTGCTTTCAACTGACCTTAGGGATTCACAATGGAGCATGAGGGAAAAGATAGTCCATTTGGTATGCAAGGGCAAGCCTACTTAGGTCAAAATCATTATGCCTAGTACAAGTGTCTTGCAGGACTGTATCAAGCTTATCCATATGACTGTCCAAATAAAGAGAGTCAAATTTAATGTTACAATTAAAGCTGCAACTCTACAGAATTACAAACTTACAATTAATAACTTAAACTCTACAGAATTACAAATATATTTTTCCACACAGACAAGTATGAAATGTTATTAGTATCCAGCTTGTAATAGCAGCACAATAGTACATTCCTTCCAAGGTCAAACAAGCTCAGAGGATTTATGCCTACTGTTCTTTTAAGGAAAAAAAATAATTATAATATATAGTAAAAGACACAGTATTTTTTTTTTGTCAAGATTAATAACCATTTATAAAACAGTTATGGAGAATGCTGTTAAAGTTCCCCAAAATTCAATTACGTCTTCTATTAATACATTTTATTATAAGAAAGTTCCAAAATAATTTGATGGTAAAGCAATTATAATAGGAATATTCCAGTACTAACATTCATAGTATTATAGTATATTATTTACTGGAAGAATCTAATTTTGAGATCAAATTATTTTCTACACACTTTGTTATTTTTAGCATCATAATATTTCATAATCATATTAAAGAAAAAGTTTCATGAAAATAATTTCTAATATTTATGAATTTTCTTAGAGGAAGGGCTAAATTAGATTGCATTCTGTTACTTCAGAAGAAGAAAAGATACATTTCCTCATGAAGCCATGAAAATGAAATTTGAACTGTATATCCTCCTTATATATTATTCAATTTGACGGTGGAAGAAGTTTGAAAGTCATTGTTTGAACAATATGTTGCAGCGTGATTGAGGCTAGATTGTACTGTCTGTCACAAACCCATCTGCAGGGGACCAGAAGAGCCCTGAGTTTCTACCCATTGTGCTGCCACTTGCCCTAATGAACAAGGCAAGGTTGCCCCCAGATAGCTTCCTTACCCCAGGAGGCCTTAGCTCCATTGCTTATACTGGACCTTCACCTCACATCCCCATGCCCAGCAGTAAAAGACAGAACACACTCACATTTTCTAAGCCAATCTCATGCCTTGTCGGGTCCAATTCATGTTTTGGCATAGCAAATATTTTCTCTCTTCTCAGTGTTGGGGTCTCAGGTCTATAAAATAGGGATAGTACTACTTCCCTTATTTCATGCTTTTCCTGTTATTACTGTTTAACTTAGACGGTCAGAGACACTCAATACAATGGGGCCCTGACTGCAGTGGGGACACTAATCTAATACAAATAATAATATTTAATAGGAAAAGGGCTTGTAACAACTATACAGTTAATGGAGACAAAAACATGGATACATACCTTTTGGAAAGACTACCAATGCTCATTTGAAATGGTGGTGTCAAATGAGTTTCACTCATGTAACAAGGGCAAAAAGGCCTCAATTTTATCCACTAGGGCCTGCTGAGCTACAAGTGGATTACACTGTGGTAGAGGCTTGGTGGTAGTCACAGAATAGACAAAAAGGAAGAGATGAAGTTGGTAGGATCTACCTATGCAAGAACAGTTTATTCTAACTGACAACACTGCCAGGCAAATCAGCCAGGCTCCAAAAGGCCAGGTGTTTGCAATTTGCTTGGAAGCTCATTAAATCAGCTAAATAGAGTATAGAGTTCAAAGGATAAATGATTGGGTCTATACAGTCATACAGCTGAAAATCTGAACTAATGACTGTTTAATTGTTTGTTTTCCCAATCAGACAACTCTTTGGATCAAATGATTTCAGCTTCTGCTTTTTCCCCCCCAAAGCAGTAGATACAGCCTGCATTCCACAGAAAATCTGATTTCAGTGTTTTTGATATAAAGATTTCACTTGTGATTTATTCCATCTATTGAACAATCATTTTGAGGGGAAACTGCAATATTGGCCTTCAGTCACAGAAAGCTAATATAGTAATAATGATTTCAGAGAGAAAGCAATGATATAGGCCTCTAGTCACATTTGCAAGCAAGTCTAGGTTTCTAATAGCACAAGTGATTGATTTTGAGGGAGCCCAGCCTTCAGTAACTTACAGCATTACACTGAAACAGTAATTTCAGAGAGCATAAAGATTGAGAGCTGATCTCCTGGAAATCAATCATGGCTTTCTCTTGGATTACGGATAGAGAGACTATAAAAGATGATTTTTTTCTATCAAATAACTTAGGGCAGGCCTCCTTGTATAACACAACTAGAAAAATCACATTTCAGCAGTGAGTCTACACTCAAAAAGAGTGGACTTTTAACTTGGGCTTGCTTGAGACAAAACTTTTAAGCTATTTTAGCTAACCTGATTTAAGAACACTTTTATTTTCCAGTGTGACTGTACAGAGAAGATCAAGTTCTCAGTTGTTTTTATTTGCTAAAGTACATACCCAGCTCTGAGAAGTACAGAATACATGCAGGCTGGCATTTTCAAAAGGGTACAGTTAGACAAACATCTACTACTGAAGAAGAAAAACAAAAATCAATATGAACTGAGCGTCACATTGTTAGGCCCCTTGGAAAATTCTAGCTATTGGCTCCAACTGATAATAGGATTTCAGGACATTTAGCACCTTGCAGTTGGTGCCTCAAATCCTCCTGACTAATAGAGAACAAAGGGCCATATACGCAACTAATGTAGATCAGCAGGTTTTTGTTGACTTCTAGTTACACTCATCTAGATCAATGGAACTGAGGATCTCCCCTAATCAATCACAATTAATAAATGCACTCAAAAGTGATCAAAAGTTAAGTGTTTGAAGCTCTCTACCTGAAACACACAGTATTTGAAGATAATTGCAGACATTGGAATTTAATTATTATAACTGAACTATAATATTTATTATGACAGTAATATAATGAAATTTACTAAAGGGCATACAACATTTCAGGAAATGAAAACTGTTAAGCAGTCTAGCAAGTTGTACAGTTACAGATGAAATTAATTTAGTGTTGAATAATCAAACTTCTCATTAAAACATTGATGGGTACTCAGAGGAAAACCTGCTTCCTACATCCTTCATTATTTTCTGTCTTCTATTCCTGTTAACTGTTGCTTATCTCCTGCCCAGGCAGTATAAACTTTGAAGTCTCTCACATGTAAAACCCACTTAAACTATTTTCATTGCTCACTGCTGCATTTTACTAGTCTCTATTTTATCATTCTAAAGGGACTTTTCTTGCCTGACAGAATTTGGTGAGTTTAGCCTAAAGAATTTACTGCCGTAAGAGATCAGAGAGACAACATATAGGATTTTCTGAAGAATGAGATAGAAGTTGTCAGCATTTGCAGTCATGGAAGCACAAGGGAAGTGAAAGTCATACACTCATCATGAGTACTAAGGAGTTTTAAAAGAAGTCACTTTTTATCTTCCACAAACAAAAATTCAAGAGCACCATAGCCTAACTACAATTTTGTTACCTTTCCCTGATCCAGCTAAGACTAGCAACTATTAGAGACAGAATAAGAACTCACTTATTTACCTAGTGTGTTCTTAAGTACTGCCCAAAATGTTCTCTTTTATTGGAGGAGGATGACGACACTTACAGCAAGGTAATTAACCAATGTAACACCTCTCAGCCTGACAGATTGATTGGTATTGGCACCCAGAGCCAAGATTAAGTTATGTCCTCTCACAGACAAATTGGGCAGCACTTACAAAGTTAGGAAGGTGCAGATTCTGGGCTAGTAGCTACAGTAATTAGTGCAGTGATGTCAAGTAATGGAATTACTACTCTGCTTGCCTCATTAGTAAGCCACTTTCAAAATGAAAACTCTTTCTGTGTTTAGTTAGAGCATCTGTTTCAATCGGTCAGGGTCCAAATGTGGGACTCGGGATGTGATGAAGGGCCTGGATGCAATAAAGGACTTAAATGGCATGTAAATCCAAATCAATCAATTAAATCCAAATTGGTCTCCTTTGGCCTTCCTAAAAATTAGGCACCTAGCCCCCATATGGGTAATTGAGTGTGGGCTTCCTATGGCTGAACTTAGGTCCCAGGTATCTTTGGATACCATGAGGCTGCTCTGACACTCAGTAATTACAGCACGTCCGAGGAGACTCAATTAATTATTTTAATTAATAAATTAAAATAATTTATTTTTTCCTAATAATAATTTAATAATAATAATTTAATTTCTGCTAATAATTTAATCTCCAGCAGATGCAATTAATTGAGTCTGCTGGAGTGTGGTAATCAGAGGCATCTAACCCCAGAGAGGAGTGGGATTGCAGACACACCTGTGGCTGCAACATACCTGCTGGTTAGCTCTAGGCAGTTGCATCCTGACTTTAGCCAGCTGTTTTGGACTTCATTGTGAGGCATCTAGTTTTCTTCACAACCTGTTATACCAAGTCTATTAATCTAATTACACCAGACTCTAGATTCTGCTTTGGGGAAGGAGTATGCATCTAAATGTGTGCCCTTCATTGGAAGGAGCTCCAAGACCCACCATATTTAAATTACAGTTCAGGTGGGATTCCTCTAGGCTTTGCTTTTCAAAATGCACCTGAGAGATCCTACAGTTCCTATTGAAGCTGAGTCTGATGATATTTGAGTATGTCTAGGCCAGCAATTCTCAGCTGGAGCACACAGGCACACTGGGGTGTAGGGTGGCCATCACCGAGGACAGTCTGGTTGTCCGCTGTCCTCTATTGATATGAAACCCAATGCCTTTATGTCCTCTATTTTTCTCTTCAAGAAAACAATAGAGGACATAAAGGTGTCCAGTTTCATATCAATAGAAAACAGAGGACAACTGGACTGTCCTCTATGATGGCCACCCTACTGGGGTACCATGAGATCCTTTTAAGGGATTTCAGGTTGCTGTGCAATAGTAATGCTATTAAGGCGAACAGAACTCCACACAGGATTCACAAGATAAATCTAGAGATTTCAGGCAGGAATCTCTAGTGTCAAAAACATTCTGAGTTACTTGCAGCAGAAGAATTGCTCTATTTATTCTATTTTATTGTAGTCAAGAAATGAGTGAAAGCTAAGAACTGACATTTTCCAAAGGGCTTTTTGAACCTAAAAAAATTGAGAACGCTGGCCTATGCCATTGCCCTGGTATATCTGTGACCAGACTCACACAAGCACACCTCATCCAACTGTTTCTGCTTCAAATGCACCAAATGCAGCAGGGGAGTCACTCTGGGGATATGCTATGCAGCTACTACAGATGTCCACCTTCTGGAACAACTATAGCACTACATCCCTCAGTTCACCACATGCCAGTGGAAGTGAATGGGGCAGGGGGACATGCTGATATCATCCCTCTCTGGACATGCCACAGACACAGCATACACAATCTTATGATTGACCTATTTATTTGTTAAGAAATGTGTGGGGGCCGAGGGGGGACCGAGGATCGGGAATCCTCTGGAATGCTAGCTGGGGTTGCGGCTGCGATTCCGTGACGGGCAGATGGGTACTCTCTATCACCGGAGCGGAATTAGGCACAGACGGGACACGTATCAGTTGGAAAAACAGAGATGGTTTTACTTACACTGTAGAGTCGTATACAGCGCAGGCAAGAAGTGACTTCACACTTCAATCGTAGTTGCAACTATTCTAATCTCTAGTTGCTAATCGAGGAGCTCTTGTAGACTGGGTAGCTCAGGTCTAACTCGGGCATGCAACACGGAGGATATGTCGTAAGGCTTCGACGACGGGGAGTCGTTGGCAGGTGATCAAACTGCCGGAGTTCCACTCCAGGGGGAATCACGGAGTTCTCCAACTAGGGCGGAAATGCCCCTAACCTTTTATACGGCTAGCAAGCCAATTGCCAGCCACCATGTGGGAATAATTTAACATCGGCCAATCGTCTTCATATCCTCGGTGGGAACTCTATCCACGCCGGAACTCTTCACCATGCCGAGAATTCCCCTGCCTTACTGTGCCTTGTGCTGGAAAGTTCCACTGTGTCGAGGCACTGATTCAAATCAGCTCTGACAAAATGTACATTATATAACCCTCTATAACTTTAGATTTAGTAATTCTTTATTTGTGAGTTAAGTGAATTTCAACAATAAATGTTCAGGGACATTAACCTCCTGAAAGATTTTGGTCGGCATTCAGACCAGAAGGATGGTGTCTCCTGGCATGAGGGATTTTGGAGAGAAATGTGAGATTGCTATGTTTTTAGTGCATGCAACACAAAAGAATCCTTTTGAAGTTCACAAGTGCCTATAATCATTTCCAGAGTTGAAAAAGGACTACAACAGAATGTTAGATTTGTACTTTACAGAGGCCTCTTGGATTCCCCAAGTCAGCTACTAGCCCTACAAATTAATTTATTCCCCTTCAATCTAACGCATAGACTTAAAACAATGTAATGAATTTACCGGTTGCTAACGTACTAGCCTTGTGTGCCAACAACTCCATCACTGCATTCAAATGAGATTATCTGTTTCCCCATCCTTCTGCTTTACAGCAAGATCTCTAAATTTAACCTCCCTAGAAAATGTGCTTTAATGTAAAAGTCTCCATGTTAGTGCTTTTTACATGAATTCATAATT